TCGGTCACACACCGACAATTATCGTCTTTGTCTTTTGCTATTTAGTTCGCAGCTTGTTTACGATGGCTGTTTATCGGAGACGTGCAGCCAGCGTTTTAACGAGTATCATGTATATAATTGATCCTTAATTATAAACTCAATTAATCTTGTAATAATGAGAGGCAACACATTTTCTTACGCTATTATCGTACGTTAAAAAGAAAAAGTGTTATAAAATGTACAAAAAATTGTTCGAGGAATTTAGCCGTCGCAACTTTGTTATGTCTACGGCCGTTGAAAAAGTCAAATGATAGTAAAGCAGATGGCATTTTTTAAATGCGTCTTAGGATTTGTATATTTGTAAGAATGCAAAACCGATTTCATTGAACGCGTTCGTCTTCGTTTGCTGACCCGTATTCGCTTGGCTGGTTGAAAGAGCGTAAAAGTAAAACGCGCCGGACGCTCTCCTCTCTGATATCTCGCTGAGGTGCGCGCACGCATACACGCACGCACGCACGCACGCACGCACGCACGCACGCGCGATTCTGTGAGTTTCTTCAGAAAAAAAAAAAGAAAAAAACACGTGATACGTTACGTAATGGAATATCGATTTTACAATTCGGCGGGAAACCAAAGTGCACCTGCGAAACAAGTAACAGTATCGAGAAATCAGTTATGAATTTGATTGGAATGCAAAGATCTCACACGCGCAATATCAAAAGATGTCGACCATGTGTTCGTCTTCTGCGTATATATATATATATATATATATATATATATATATATAGGATAACACATTCTTTCGCTGAGCGGACGAAAACGATATCAAGTTTCGAGTAAGTCGCGGATGACTTTACTGTCTGTCGTAGAAAGTCTGTCTCACACGGCATTTCAACGATATATTGATTAATTAGTTAAGGTTGACATTTTTGGTTTATGATTGTGTGTGAATTTCTTGGATTTTTTTATTATTCCTACACCGAAAAAATTGTATTCTTGTTTTGAGGATATATCCCACTTACTTTAAGTATATTTTATACTAAAATAGGCGCCGAGAAGAGTTTTTTATTTTAAGAAGAAAATCCTCTAAATAATAATATTGATAAGAATATATACTGATTAGAATATAAAAAGCCTCTATAGGAAAACATATATATATCTCACTATCGAAAAAGACTATATTCTTAAATTAAGAATATATTCTTAAAAATAAAGAATATATTCTTAATTTCGGAAGAATATCATCTAAAATCTTTAAGAAGATTTTTTAAGTATAAAATCTTCTACTTATAAAAATATAATTTTTTCGGTATATATATATATACACGTACACCAAAAAAATTGTATTCTTGTTTTGAGGATATCCCACTTACTTTAAGTATATTTTATACTAAAATAGGCGCCAAGAGAGAAGAGTTTCTTATTTTAAGAGGAAAATCTCCTCTAAATAGTAATATTGATAAGAATATATACTGATTAGAATATAAAAAGCCTCTATAGAAAAACATATATATATATCTCACTATCGAAAAAGACTATATTCTTTAATTAAGAATATATTCTTAATATCAGAAGAATATCATCTAAAATTTTTAAGAAGATTTTTTGAGTATGAAATCTTCTACTTACGAGAATATAATTTTTTCGGTGTAACACTTTGTATGTAAAATCTGTCAAAGAAGAACATGATCAGTTTAATTCATAGAAAAACTTATTGCATAAACTAAAAATATAAATTTTTTTAATATCAAGACAAACGTTATAATAGATAGAAACGTTATAATAGAGACCGATGGTTACACCATAACGTGATTGCTCAATTTCAAAATATAAATAACACTGATTGCATCTGGTACAATGTGTTTTCTTATTCTCGAGAGGCTAATAAATATATTTATTTGAACGTTTACCAAATCAAAACGCTAGATGCGTTAACAAAAACAAAAAAAAAATCTTAAATTATACAATTCTGTAAATTATACAATTACAGAAACTCGAGACACAATATCTTTTCCCTAAGATCTCCAGAAGATATTTATCTACAATCAAATTTTGTAAAACTACAGATTACAAAATTAGTTCGCTAATTGTTGTTTTGATTTGAATTAGAGATTATTAGCGTTTAAAACACGATAAAAAAAATTCTCAGCAGCACAAAGACGACGCGATCACATTATTGATGATGAAATCTCTGCCGTGTCTCGAGGATTATTAACCTCTAGTGACTTCACCAGAAACATATTGCAGACAGTGTGATTATTTGATGGCAGTGACATAATCCGTTAATGTTTAACGACCTTGGAAGAACGATTGGTTCTGCGAGTCGCGGAATTGTTCATTTCGACAATTGCTCGATTCCTCGGTTGCTCTTTTCTTTTCTTTTTCCGACGCGATTATCTACGATACGCGCTCGCGATTTCTCTCCTGACCTTAATAGCACACTAATCTAATTCTTTCTATCCTTTCTCCGGCGCGGCGCGAGGATATCGCACTCAAGGTCTTCGCGGAAGATATATTTTATATAAAAGAAGTACGAACAAATTACTGTTTATTAATGTGACAGTAAACATTTTCCAAATCGTATTTTTTATGTTTATTTTCTATGTTTTTATAACAGTACGTTTCCGGTCGATTTAAGACTACATTCTTTCTTTTCTTTTACAAAAAAAATTTTCTTTTCTCTTTTATGACTGTATTCTCTTATCTATCGATACTTTCCAGTTTGCCAATTTTATTTCTATTATTACACGATATATTATTTATATTATTTATATTACACGATGAATATTTGCGTATCTTTTTTTAGAATAATACTTTGCGCATAAATTGTATACACACAAACACGTTGTTTTTAACAATGTAAAAATATCTCACAGTGTTTGTGCTACACTTTGCTATATTTCAACAGTTTTGCATCTGATGATTCAAATTACAATTGGCTATATAAATGTGTAATAGAAATCTCTTATTTTTTTTTCTAATCTCTTTTTTTCTAAATTATTTCTAAATTAACTCGCCGAAGATGTACAATGTATCATACAATGCGTTTTGCGCGTGTGTTTTAGATAATTTTAAATGTAGAACAAAACATTGTAATATAATAGTTTAGATATAAAAATAACATTGTCGCTTTGTTGTGATTTATATCATACTTCTTGATTATTACGGAAAAACCAAAAAAATCTTCAATCTTGATTGAATTTGGTCGAGTTGAAACTTAAAATAATTTAAAGTGCTTTGATGCATATAAATGAAAAAATTACTCACAATAAATATTTTACTTTCGTTTGATATAAGAATTATTTGTTTACCATTCGCAGCACTTTTCTTAATAGTTCGAAACTTTCCAGGAATATATGTTTTTTCAGATAAGCGTGGCAAAGAAAATTATATGCTGCGATAATCCGCAATGATTATCTGAAAAAGAAAACTATAGGGATTACGTTACTAATGTGTATTTATGTATAGCTAACCTGAACATACAGTGCGCTCTTTACATTGTTGCTGAGAATGTATCAAAAGCTGTAATTAATTTTTTTTCTTTAAACAATTCTTGCTTGTTGAATAATAAAGATATGTCGAACGACAGGTGTGTTCAGGTGAACTATATCACACGGAAATTACTTTTTTTTTTAATAGAAATATATACATATGATATATACATATAATCAGCGTCGCAAAACGAAAAACCAGAATTCGAGATATTCAATAGTCGATATCAAAACGTTAAACTCTGATGAAATGTTTGCTTGATGATATAAATGATGACGCAATTTCAACCCGGATATTATTAACTAGAAATTTATACGAATGCTTTTTTTATTCATATACAGAATATCTGAAAAATGTTGATACAGCCAAAGTGTAAAAGATAGATTCGATCGATCTGAAAACAGAAGAGTTATTTATTCATTTTGCAATATCATTCGCAATATTTATTAATGAGAAACCGATGAGTCTGGAATCTGTAGGCGTATATGATTTGTAGTTGTAGAGAAAACTGGCTTGTATCTCGGACAAATGTACTAGCAATAAAAGACAAGATCAAACACACGTGCGATGTGTGACACAGCTTCTCTTTCACCGATCAGCTTGCGATTGTTACAACTGAAAATCATACACGTTCACAGAATTCGGATTATCGATCATTAACTTGTATTTATTAATTACTAAAGCGAAGTTTGCAGCCAAATGTTTCAGACACTCTGTATAGTATTTAAATTGTTCACTCGTGTTAAATTTTTTTCGTTTTATGTAAATTTATTCGTGATTGTGACATTTAAATTTAGATATGTAAAATGTAATCGACAGAGAATTTGACATTGAATTTCAAACACTCTTGTCTACCTGAATATATACAGAAAATATTTTTATTTTATTGTTTCATCATAAGATAACAAAATTATTTTTATTTATTGAATCTGTGAGATAGGATAATTGATGATTTTATTTTATCTTAATCTCATGTGAGTTTTTGTTAAAAAAAGACTCGTGAAAAAATATAACAGCGACAAATAGCGTGTCACGGAAAAGTGTTTATTTTTTTGAAAATTTATCGTCGCGAACATTTTCGCGAAGAAAAATTTCTTTCTTGAATGTTTTTTTTTTATACAAAAAATAAGTTCTTGGTTCTTTGTAGAGAATGATAAAGAATCATAAAAAAAAAAAAAGACAAAGTTTTGAATTTGCGAATATTGAAAATTATACACATGTATACTTATATGCATAGTGAAATTTGAATTGAATACTTTCACCCGGTCTCTGTAGTTCACACAAGTCGTATTTTATACAACCTTCTTCGGAGTGATATAACGATGATAGGAAGTGCATAAATAAAAAAAAAGAAAGGAAAGAGCAAGAGAAAGAGCGAAGGTAAAGAGACTTGCAAGGATCATTTCTATTTATTCGAGGACCCCCCCATGCATCTCCTTCGTAACAGCGATCGGTGTAACCCCACTTCTTGCACTTGTTCAGTCCCCGAAAGTGGCAAACACTCCAAGGCTCACTCCAAGGCTTCGCGAACGATCGTTTAGTCCTTCGGGAACAGTAAATCCCGCGAGATCAGACAGACTTTTTAATAGTTCGCGAATCGTGAACGCCGCGAGATCGCCGATCGTGTCTTCTTCTTAAAATTGCGACCAAAATATCGGCTAGTGTAGAATTGTGTGACTTCTTTGAAAAGATCAAGAACCGGAACATTTTCTATTGCGTTGATATATTAGTCTTTCTTAAATTTAAATATTTCTTCAGATAATTATCAACCGTTAATAAACGAGAATTATTGATATCATCGTGTTGTTACAGTCTTTTGTGTGCGCGTCGCGAGCTTCCTCTCTCTCTCTCTCTCTCTCTTTCAAGATCAAAAAGGAGAAAACCGCGAGCTTTTGGATGCATCTTGAAACGAGTTCATTCTTAGAATGAACTAGCGAAATTAACACGTACGAGTTAAGTTAAATACAAGGTAAGTTCTCTGTCGCAACTACGTCGAGAAGTAAGTTCTTTCCGCTTGTGGAAAATTATCGCTTCTTCGGTCAGTCCGCGAAGTAACGGGCAAATGGGGGTTATCCATCTGTGAACGCGGTAATTTCTGTCGTGTACTGCTAACTAGCATTTTCTAGATCAGTATTTTCTAAAAGGAAAGTGTTGCTTTTTATTACGTTCTCGACTTGCAATTTTTCCGAGCACCGCAGCTTGCGCATTAAAAAGAAAGAGAATAAATGAAAATACTTTCTTCTTCTTGAGTTTTATTTTACGCGTAATCTCTAACAAGATTGCAAAACAATCTCTTTACAATTAGGTACGACAATGGTAATTTCACTTCCGCATGTGCTGCGATTGCGAAGATACAGACATTGATATCCGCAAAAAAATGCATGTTGCACATTTGTTGCTGACATTAAAAATTCATTCGATTCGCCTTTTGCAACTTGCTTTTTTTATACGGACACACGCATCAACAATTTGCAAATATATTTCTAATCTGTTAATTTAAAAATAAAAATAAACGAGGTAAATTAATTCGTTGATTAATTAAATTACAAACATTCTGTTCCAAAAAACTTAATAGAAAATGGTTGCTAGAAAACCTAAAAATAAAATCGCAAAATTCACTTTTGTTCTTTTGTTTTATTGCTTTCGCAAAGAGTTTTAATCTTCTCACGAACAAATCTCGTAACTTATGCGTCGATATGCGGATATTTGAACGCATAACTAGCTGTTCTGTAACACGAAAGAACAATACAAGTTCTGGTAACTGGTAGTGAAAATATTAAAAAAAAAAGAAAAAAAAAAGATGAAATGTCTCACATTACGCTATTGTGCAACTTCGCCGGCAGTGGACGACATTCTTGTAGATTCTTTTGCTACCAGTGTGACAATAAAACAAGAATTGAAAGAAAGAACGATGTATAGAAGCTTTTTTTTCTCTCTCTTTTTCTATGTTGACAGCCTTGTTATTTGCAGATGATATTAGTCCCAATTTTCTCAATGTAAGAGCGTGTGTTCCGCATGTGTCTGTTACACAAATCTTATGTCCATCAAAATGTAATTAGTGATGATTGACACGCATAACTTACGGAAGCAATAATGCATCGAAATTATTGACGTGACAGTAACAAATTGCGGTATCGCTCGCACTACACTCTCTTTCGGATTCATTACAATGTTATGTTACTACAGGAACTCACGAGTGGATATTCGATACGATTTTAAATTATGTGCGATTGATGGCATATTCTGTGTTGTATTTTATGCTGCACGAATAAAAAACAAACTGTATGATTCCTTTCACTTTAATATGTTTGCATCTACCTGTAACATGAATGAAAGCAATGAAAACGAATGATTGCTTATAAGAAAGATTCCACATCTTAGTGCGTAACATAAAATACTTTGTTTTAATCGTAAACTTTTATAGAATTTGAGAAAAACCGAACCCAACGGTCGAAACGTTTGCTATTTTTAAAGAGTTTAAGGATCTTGAAATTCGAACAACGTGAAAGTTTTTTCGGTCAAGGAGAGCCGGATGTGACGTCGCGTATTTTGTATATATATATATATATATACATAAATGTTCGTGTAAATTTTTACTCGTAAGTTTCGAATTGAATTTTCAATTCTTAAATTCATATAGGATGCTATATTTGCATCACATGTATGAGAGACACGGCACGGAAAGCCGGAGATTCCAGGTTCCAATTCCTGACCGAGGAGTTTTTTTCGTAATATTTTAAAATTAGTTAGGGAAGGTCTCTCATATATGTGATGCAAATATAGCATCCTATATAAATTTAAGAATTGAAATTTCAATTCGAAATGTAAAAATTTACACAAACATATATATATATATATATATATATATACAGAGTGTCTCAGAATGGGTGTAACATTTCTTATAGACAGGTAGAAGAAGTAAAACTGAGTCGATAAGTCCTATACCATTTTGCTAGATTCGCAATAGTTACCGAGATCTTAATTAACAAAAATCCGTAAATAAGCGCGCCGGGCTGTCTTACGCGCTCGACGCATGCTTATTCGCTGATCTTTGTTAATTAAGATCTCGGTAACTATTGCGAATCTAGCAAAATGGTGTAAGACTTATCGGCTCAGTTTTACTTCTTCTACCTGTCAACGAGAGATTTTACACCAATTCTGAAACACTCCGTATATATACATACATACATACATACATATATACATATATACATATATGTATACAAAATACGCAACAAAAATCCAGCGTATATGGCTCTCATTGACCAAAAATTTCACGTTGTTTGCTATTTTTACCAAATAATTAAAGTTTAAGTAATTCTCAAAGAAGAAAAAACAATCAACAGTGTTCTGGCTCTTACTGGCCTAATTTCTTCACTAACTTGATTGATAAAATATTGGAGTTGTCACAAATTTACGTATAAAAATACTTACGTCAAATAAGATGCGTCAAAAGAGTGTTTGTGTTTCCCGCTGATTGCTTTATCATCAGTATCATTAATCTTATCAGTATCATTAATCTTATCGTTAACCTTTAGATCACCGGTATGACGCCGTTTGACGTTATCAAGTAAAGTGTATGTTTTTTTGTTTGTATACAAGTGTAATTTGCTACAAACTTCCATTTATGTGCTTATATGCATATGAGAGCATCTGTATGTTAATCTTAATTATTAACCTTTAGCATCTGTATATTACATCTGTATATCTCTATAATCTTATTAACCTCTAAACCGCCGGTATGACGTCATTTGGCGTCATTAAGTAAAGTGTAAATTTTTATTTTTTTTTTGTACATGTGTAATTTACTTCAAAATTCCATTTACGTGTTCATATGCGTGTAAGATTAATGATTGAACAGCACAGTATGTACAATATTTCACAGTATGTACAATTTTTAATATATGCGAATTAAGCACATCGTCACCTTGTTTATGGTTTCACATTTCACACTTACGTGCGCGCTAATTGTTATGTCTCGTGTAACATAGAGAGTTAGATATGCAATCTACCGCTTTTACTTTCAAGAACAAAGAATGTCATTTCAAATATTACAATTATTTTTCTTGAAAATAACATATGTGTGTATTATTTTTATTTATTCATAAAATTATATAGTAATTGTGAAAAATAGTATTTAGAAAAAATAATTAACATGTGATCATTTTAAACTATTTTTTTTTATCAAAAAATTAAATTTTCGACTACTCACAAAAAACCAATTATTTGTTTTTGATATACGTATATAAAATAGTTTTATGTTCTTTTTACAGATTTTTGGTATTTAATATTGTTTAACAAGTATTTCAACGATGATGAAATAGAATTTGATGACGATTAAATTAATATTAAACAGATAGTGACGAAAATACCTTTGCACGCAATGATTTTATTATTGTTAATGAATTAATGAGGTATTTACTGTTAATATATTAATGAAACATTTCATTAATATTCGGTTACAAATTTTATATTGTTAAAGATCAATTTTTCTCTTTTGCTAAATATTATTTTACTATTTTTTGTAAAACCAAAATGTAGGTTTTACTTATTCGCATGCTTGGATTAGCTGAGAATGATCGTAATATAAGACATGAACTTAAAACGATTTTAAATATAAGATCGGATTATGAACATGTATACAAAATATGATAGTGTTCAAATAACAATAGCTGAAACACTGTATTTATACTTTTATATATATAGATATGACAATTTTTGCTTGATTTTCGCATTTTATCATACATTTTATTGTTACTTCTGCTATTTTCTTTAATAGACAAGAAAAACCTTCAAACAAATTGATTGGTTTCAAAAAAATAGATAATAGAATAGTAACGATTGTTTCGTCATGGGAATAAATTTATACATATATGCACGAAAAAGTGTGGGGATTTCATTATCAGTGATGATATTTTTCCTATATAAAAAAGGGCATTTGGACCGAGAAGTTCGCGTTTTGGAGCCGAATGTATCGCATCTGTTGCATTGTTGTCTCTTTTACGCGTTGCCGATTGGTTGGTTGGTTGATCGAGTCGAATCGAATCGGTCGAGATAGTAAATAATAAAAAGCAATTTTGAGACAGGTCGTCGTATATGTAGAGAAAATTAAAAACGTAACTAAAGTCACGTGACAGGAAAGAGTAGAAAAACAACACGTGAAAATAACGTGACTGTAATTTATATTATATATATAACATTAAATAATACATATTATATAATTTATTATA